ATATTACCAATACAACGCTTGCAAAAACGATTGGTTTCTGTCCGGGTAGTCTCAGAGAACACTAAGGCAAATGCTTTTCTGATAACTCTTGAGGAAGATCTGTTGAACACAGAGTCCAACCTTTCGAGTTAATCAGTCAAGATCTTAAGTGCAGAAATATAATGAGTAAAGTAAAAGACACCGGGGATTTTTATAGTGGTTCAAGGAACAACTTGTTCCTCTAGTCCAGTGTTCCACAAAGCTTGCAAAAACGACAGTTTACAACGCCTTAGTCCCTAGAACTTAAGAAGCTCTCCACGTCTTTTTCAAGCCTAGTTGCCACCTGGGATGCAGTCCTGCTTCCTGATGGCTGGTCTCATTTCATTGAGTCTCTTGGAAGTATCACCACTTCACTTACTCCAGTTAGTTTGAGACGCCCCTTCTTTTTCAAGAAGTGTTTGATTCAAGATCAGTTTTTCTCCAACGTTGCTTCTTCACAAAAGATGTGTAGATGAAGTTTTCGAAGTGTTGAAGAACTGAGGAACTTTGCTACTTGTTAGTTGGATGAAGGGTAAGAAAGTATATCTTCTAACTTGAGCTTTTCTTGTTGAGGTAAGTGAGTCTTTGATCTCAAGAAAGCTTGAAGGTATTTAGTTCAGAGTAAATGATCTGAGCAAGTTCGTATTGCAAAAGTTATAGCAAGGTTGTAGCTAAAGTTATCCAGGCAGTTCTTCAGAGTGTATCTTATATACTGGGAGCAGTCTTCCCGTTGGAGTGTAGAAGACAACTTCATTAAATGCTTGTACTGTTGACTTGACTGGTTGGACCTTCGACTTGCTATTTTGGGGGCGCGAAGATACTCACATGGTCAATCATCAACTTTAAATATATCTTCGTACGTACAGCATTAATTGAGCATTTAATGCGTGTACAGTACCATGTTCCCGTCGAAAGGTTCCTAGCCGTTAGAGGATTTCCCGTTAGTTTAACGACCGTTGGTATGTGCCTTCGAGTTCTGCTAGGTATGAGCATGTCTGATGAGGTTTTCTGATCAGAACTCTGATGGCAGCTTCTGATGCCAACTCTGGTATCAAACTCTGATGGCTTCTCTGGAGAGCAACTCTGGGAGCAACTCTGGTAGAAGTTCTGATAAGGAAGACCAAGAGGGTTTCTGGCATGTCGACTATTCTAGTACTTACAAAGACAAATTCTAATACAAAATTTCTATAGGGGTACTTTCAAAATCTAATCAACCTAGCATCATCAAAATCTAATTACATTTATTCCTTACAGTATAGGCTCCCCCGCTGGAGTGCTCTGAGGTATGATCTTGGGAGGTCGGTGATGAGGCTCCGTGCGTAGGGGCTGCTGCGGAGAACCCCCTGGAAGAGGACGAGGAGGGTACGCTCGTCGGCGCCCTCGACCTCGTTTGTCTCCTTCATCCACCGGTCAATGAAGGACCGAAGTGTTTCGTCAGGCTGTTGCTTGACGGAGAGGAGGCGGGAGAAGTGCTTTCTCGCGCGCTTCCTTTTGGCAAAATGGGTGAGGAAGCGTTGGGCAAGATCTTGCCAAGAATCAATGCTGCCCTCGGGCAATCGGTTGAACCATTCGTATGCTGGTCCCTCCAAGGTGGAAAGGAACCAACGACATAAGTATTCATCTGATGCCCCCATCATCATCATGCTGTTTTGATAGGTGTTTTTAGCTGAAGGGGAGGGTTTCTTACTTGATTGTTCGAACTCTCAACGAGAGCACCAAATGATGGATAGTGTACCCGGGGGGTAGCTTATCCGAGGGGTTATTGCGGAGAATAACTAGAGAGAAGTCAGAGCAAATAAGTAAGAGAGAGAGTGTATATTCGATATGTATTAAGCGTGGTTTTTAATGGGGAAAGGGGTGCTATTTATAGTAGTAATAAATGCTAGATAAGGACACATATCGGTTTTCTGGTGGTCGAGGGGTCACCTCGACCGGGGTGGCACTGACACTCGCATGTGGCCGCATTAAATGCGGTGGTTGGATGTGACGTTTGTACTTGGTACGGTGATCCAGGCGCATGTGAAGAGGATATTCTGTCGAGGTGGATGCCTTCGGCTGAAGGGTGCTGGGCCTAAGGCTCTTCTAACCGAGGGCTCCTACCTGCCGAGGGCTGCAGGTGCCGAAGGCTTGGTTTTCAAGCCTTGTTCTCCTGTGATGCCTCTTCTAACCGAGGGCTCCTACCTGCCGAGGGCTGCAGTTGCCGAAGGCTTGGTTTTCAAGCCTTGTTCTCCTGTGATGTTTCTGAGCTCGATTCCGTCACTGGTAGCCTTCGGCCATGGGGCCGAAGGCACCCCTTTGCCTATTGTGGGCTGCTTAGAGCTCCATTTTGCTGGGCTTGGCCCGTTTGGGCCTGTTGGATCTGATTGTAGTAGAGGAAGTATGTGGGCCGGGGGTCCCTAGGCCATATACTCCATCAGGTTACTATAGAGGATCATTTTAGCTTTTTTCATATAACCTTTTCTTTCTTTATTAATAAAATATACTAGTATTATATATATAATTTTTTATAAATCAGCAGAATCACTCGTTTGAGCCAATTTCAGTGTTACTAAACGGGCTTTATATTTTTTACTCTATATTAGGTAGTTTCACTTTTCTTATTATCAGGGTGGGCTAAAGGGTCAAATAGGTCCCTGTACTCATATCAATAGCTCAATTGGGTACCCGAACTAAAAAAAGGTCCAATCCAATCCTCCAACTCTTCAAAATCGTTCAATTTTTTCGTTTAGCCGGTAAACTCCCGGTACTCAATTGAGCTATTGATATGAGTACAGGGACCTATTTGACCCTTTAGCCTTTGAAAAAACGAAAAAATTGAACGATTTTGAAGAGTTGGAGGATTGGATTGGACCTTTTTTTAGTTCGGGTACCCAATTGAGCTATTGATATGAGTACAGGGACCTATTTGACCCTTTAGCCTATGAGGGTGTTTGGAACTTGTTCAACTTGTGTTTTAAAAGCAGAATCATAACCAGAATTAGTTTTTCAGAAGCTGGTTTCCTCCAATTTCTAAAAAACTGCTTCTAGAGTAATTTAGAGCACTCAGAATTACTTCTGCACTTTCAATCAAACACTCAAATATTTGTTTTTGCTTCCTGAATGAGCAGAAACAGTTTTAAAAACGAGATTCAAACACACCCAATGTCTCTCCTACGCACAAAGGTGTGGGAAATTACACGAGTTTTTCTTAAGTTGAAGCCCTAATAAGTTACTTGAACGTAATTTTAGGTAGATTCTATGGTACCCATAAAGTACCATACTTTTTTCCACATGGATCAATGAGAATGTTGCAGTTAAATTATTTAAATCTAAATTAAAAATGATATAATGATGTGGACCGATCAAGTGAATGATAGGTACGGTACCCAATTTTTTAAATTGGGCACCGGAGTTATTACCTAATTTTATTTGGAGCATGAGTTGCTCTAAATTATCTCTAACAGAGTTTTTGTCATTTTCGGTCTCTCGATTATTGTGTTAGTGACACTTTCAGTATTCGATTTTTAAGTTTTTCATTTTAGTTATCGACTATTGTATTAGAAACATTTTTAGTCACTAACTTCAAAGTTTTCTACATTTAGTCTCCAGATAATTACCAATATAACGCTTTTAGTCATTCCACTATGACGTTGACACAATAAGTGAAGGGCTAAAATTGTAGCTATTACAATACTTGAAGAACAAAAAATATAATGTCACTTTTATTAAAATCAATAAACTAAATGTGAACATTTTCAAAGCGCGTGCCAAAACTGTCTCTAGAAATAGTTGAGAACTAAAAACGGAACAAATCAAAGTCAAGTACCAAAACTAAAAATGACCAAAAATCTTCTCTAGCACCAGTTACTCCAACATTATTTCACTAGCACAAAATATTCAACATAATTGCAAGTTGCTACAACCAAGATATTCGATTTCATCTTCTACTCCGTAATATAAATACAGCTCTACGCATAAGTTGCTTCTCCATAACTTCTTGAGCACAAGTTATTGAGTTATTCTATCAATGATCGACATTCACTCAAGTTGAGATTTCAGTCACTAATTCATTTATTATTTTCTCTTTTTGTTCGAGATTTGATCTCTTTGAATTGAGAGCTAAATCTCAATGGAGCATATTAGAATTATTTTTATTATTATTTGATTTGGAATATCTTTTTTGCGCTTTTGATTTGAAAAGTGAAATGTATATGCCGAAGTCGTTATTGATCACCCAAGGAGTACAAATATATAAATAAAATATTATATCGTGGCTATAAAAACGGATCTACAACAACGTAACTATTAAATAAAATATAGTCGAGGATCTACAACTGGACTCTTGGAAAGAGATCAGACCGGGCCATGGGCGGACTGTAGTAGAGACCCAGGGGGCTACCGCCCCCCCAACAATTTTTTTTTTAGTGTATATATATACGAAAAATAATTTTTGCTCTTCCAAAAAGTATTTTGAACCCCCCCAAAAATATTTTCGCCCCCCCAAAATGACTTTCCTGGGTCCGCCCCTGGACCAGACGAAGCTTCTAGATTGCAAACGCACGTGATGTGCGTCCCAAGATTGCATGCATGGCGCAACACCCCCCAAGATGGAGTGTAAGGGTTCCTAACACCCATCTTGGACAATAAATACGTAAATTGGTGCTGGCCAAGAGCTGTAGTAAAAATGTCTGCTAATTGTTCTGAAGAAGCTTGATGACAAGTATGAATGGTACCCGCCTCAATATGATCACGGATGTGAAGAAGCTTGATGACAAGTATGAATGGTACCCGCCTGAATATGATCACGGATGTAATGACAGACGATTTCAATATGTTTTGTGCGTTTGTGAAACACCGGATTACATGCAATGTGGAGTGCTGCCTGATTATCATAAAATACTTCCATTGAGTGAGTGTGAGAATTGAAACAACAACTGAAGAAAGTAAGCTCTTAAGCCATACGAGTTCACAGGCTAATGAAGCCTTAGGTCGGTATTCGGCCTCAACAGAAGAGCGAGACACAGTTACATATGTTTCTTAGTACGCCATGAGATAGGAGAGTTGCCAAGAAGAACAAAATATCCGATGACACACCCCATATGATTTAAAAGCACTAGTAAGCTTAGAAAACCAACAACGTGGTGCCTGTCGTAGCCCATAAAGAGACTTGAGCAACTTACAAACATGATCCGGACGGGAAGAGGAATAACCGGGCGGGAAATGCATATAAACTTCTTCACGCAAATCTCCATGCAGGAAGGCATTATCGACATCCATCTGATGTATTTCCCAATCACGAACAACGGCAAAGGCCAGAATGGTGTGAACCGTCACCATTTTGACCACCGAAGCAAAAGTTTCGTCATAGTCCACTCCATGTACCGGCCTATCACAAACAACAAGACGCGCTTTATAGCGCTCAATAGACCCATCACTTTTATATTTAATTTTGTATGCCCATTTACAAAGTGGGCTTCTTTTCGGGTGGTAACGGTTGTACTGCCCACGTTCCATTGTTCTCAAGCGCAGTGATCTCTCTCTACAATATTGCCTCGCGTCATTTAGGATCTTGGACTGCCTCACGGTAATTTAGAGGCTCCCGAGTAAGACTGATGGCTGCAAGAAAACCTCGGTGCTGCACGGAAAACGATCATAATTTATATAAGCAGTAAGCAGATAAAGGATATGGAGTACCTGAGGTAGCCGCAGAAGTAGAAGAGGTGACGGGGGTTGCTATTTGCACACAATTGACATTCACTTCACAATTTGAGTGCCATCCAGGTGGTTTGCGTTCACGTTGAATACGACGAGCAGGAGGTGCCTGATGATCATGCTGAGAGCTTGGTGAGTTTACGAGTGAAGGCTGGGTGTCGGTGTGCTCCCTTTCATGCAGAACGGATGACATCGCAGACTGATCATCACGGTCCCCACCATCTGATGATGAACTTACACCATGTGTAGCTTCCAAAAAGGGATCAGGATGAGTGTTGTGTGATATAGGCTGGAGAATTAACACATACATCTACTGGATGATCATGGAGTAGGCTGAGTCAGCTCCCCAAAATAGACTCACCCCAAAATTGTATTTACAAATTAGCATGAAATTGGAGTGCCTGAGCTATTTCAAAAATTTATCGGTGTTTCCTTTCTACGCGTCCATTTTGTTGTGGCATATCTACACAGCTAGTTTGAAAAATTATTCCTTACTTCAAAAAATAATTTTTCATTCCACAAAATTTTGTGCTATTATCACTTCTCACTATACACACTTCTTTATTAAACTGTCTCTTGGCAATAAATGTTATGCAATAAATGTACCCAAACAGCTCTAGAATAATCATCAACAATTGAAAAAAAATAATGTGCACCACAAGAGGCTGGAAATGATATGGACCTCACACATCACAATGTATTAACTCAAAACTAGCTATAGCTCTTGCAGTGCTTAATTCAAACACGTTTCTTGTTTGTTTGGCACGCAAACACACATTACAAACTTTATTATGCAAAGGAATACCAGAAACAACTTGATTTGAATTAGAAATTATATTCTCTACCGCAGGTGAGGGATGACCCAGACATGCATGCCATAAGTCCCTAGAATCCACTATTCCCACTGCATTAGCCATGATCTCGTCGATACTATGAAAATAGTAGACCCCCCCCCCCCCCCCCCCCCCGGTGTCTTCTAGCCACTCCAATCACCATCCTCATAGGCGGGTCCTGTATCACACATATCTGATTAATAAAATATAAATCGCATCCACGTCATCAATTAAACGACCCAATGATATCAAATTACACGTAAGCTCTAGAACAAAAGGCACATTTTTCAAGACAATTTTGGGACTAAGTTATACTTTTCCCACAGAAGTTTCATGCGTCACATTGCCATTAGGTAAAGTTACCGGAAGTGGACACATGGTTTTCTTCATGAAAAAACACTCCTTACTCCTGGTCATGTGGTAGGATGCTCCTGAGTCAAGTAACCAATGAAGTTGATTGGATTTACCTGATAGCTAGTTTTTTACCCGGAGAGGGAAGTTTACATTGTTCCATCAACTGGAGAAAGCCTTTCCATTGTTCTTCAGTAAATAATGGAGTAATACGTGAGGCATAAACATTCTCCAGGGATGCATCTATGATTCCCTCGCTCTCATCATGCTCTCTGGCTTGTGCGGCATTTGCGACTGCTCTCCCGCGGCCTCCCAGTTCCACGCCCTCGTGATCCACGTCCTTTGTCGGGGTTTTCATACCACCAAGCAGGGCATTTTCCCGTCCTCTTGAAGCAGCTTTCATAAGTATATATGGCCAGATTTCTTGCAAAAAGTACATGCGACATGTTGTTCTTCTGTCGATCCTCCAGTGGGTCCTTCTCATCCACGTATCATGTTATGATGTTGTTCCTCTTGAGTCATGATTTGATAAAGCATGGAGAGTGGCGACAGGTCATCCTGGCTAAGGATGTTGGAACGTAACGTCCCAAATGTTTCATGGTCAAGTCCAAGAAGAAACTCATGGGTTTTCTCCAACTCAATTTGCTTCCAAAATTCCTTTTGTAAATCACACACACATCGTTTACAAGAACACCTCGGAATTATCCGGTATCCTTTGTATTCATCCCATAAAACCTTGAGCCGCCCAAAATAGTGAGCTATCGACTTGTCATTCTGCTGGCAACTTCGAAGTGATTCCTTAACCTCGTGAATCCTCACGGGGTCCCCTACTGCAAATCGATCCTTAAGTCATTCCATAAATCAGATGCATTATCCATGTACGTAACATTTGTACGCAAATTTGGATCAATTGCCATCATGATCCATCCTACGAGCATTGAGTTAAAGGTGACCAATCCTTAATGTCTTCCAATCGGTCGGTCGGCATTTTGATGCTTTCGACCATGAAACCAATTTTCTGCTTAGCACGGAAAGCATTGGTCATGGTGGTCGCCCATTCACGATAATTGTTTTCTCATTTGAGAAGAAAATGACAAATATTCACTCCCGGAAAATCCGACGGTGACAAGTAATACAGAGAGGAAGGATCTGTGATCTTCTGTCGAATCGGTTCAGCAGTGTTCATGCTGGTGTTATTGGTGTCCATCGATGTACTTTCAGGGTTGGGGATCATTGTGATCCGAGCTGGAAGTGTTTACGACTCTGATACACAATTGTAAAATGAAATGTATATGCGGAAGTCGTTATTGTTATTGATTACCGAAGGAGTACAAATATATACAACTTTGTGAAAATAAAACGTGGCTATAAAAACGGATCTACAACAACATAACTATTAAATACAATATTATATACAACTGAACTCTTTGAAAGAGATAAGAACGGGTGATGCTTCTGGATTGCAAACGCATGTGATGTACGTCCCAAGACTGCATGCATGGCGCAACAATTTGAAATATTATATGAGATGTTTTGCACATATCCTCCAATTAATTATGGAAGATGGACTGGGATTGTCAGAAAAATCCATTTAAAAAATTAGAAGTGTTGTGAAGTACTACCTCCGTTAGGAGGTCATGTGTAAACGATACCCATAGTCCACTCTCCCCAACACATCCGAACACAACGAAACATTGCCCGACAAAACTTGACCATAGGTGTCCACCTCATGCGGCTCACTCACTATGTCAGTCGCTCACTCATGTATACGTTGCAAAGCCCATGTTTGAAATGTGAAACTTTAAATATAATTATTTTCAAATAAAAAATGTTAAATAAAGAACATGAACTGCTTTAGTAGTTACTAGCACACTTATTGTCAAGTGAAAAGCCACGGAACTAGGCTGATAATGGTGAGTAGGTAGCCCGAAAGGATAGACAAACAACCGTGTGATGGTGTAATTCCATCTCATCTAGTCTAAAGAAACTGATGGTTGTAATGTCCGCTCACCTCTCCCATATAGTGACGTATCATACATATCTGAGTGACCAATCCTCTGTAGGCTTCCCACACCTATCAAGCTTATGAAGATCCTCACATGTGTCCATAGCTGCCGAATTGACCTGCTCATAGCCAAAATGACACAGTACACGATCAGGCAAATGTAGTGATAGTGTGGTGTTTCGCCTTCTCCTTATTCTTCTCAATGATATCTGTTATGTGTGGCAAGTACTCATGGCCTTTTGTCATTCTTCTTTTGCTACTTTCACGTCTGTCTACAAAATATGCATTGACCTGGTAAAAGGAAACCTGAACAAAAGCTGTGAGGGGAAAATATCGTGCACTTTTCATCACACTGTTGAAAACCTCAGCCATATTAGAAGTTGTAGTACTGTATCTGAACCCCTCATCATGGTGTAATGATCACTTTTCCAAAGGAATGTTCCCCATAAATGTCCATGCCTCCAGCCGCATTTCACCTATCGTGTTGAACTCACCATAAATTTTTTTATGTTGCCGTGCGGTCCAAACAAACAAATTTTTCATGTGAATATCTTTAAAATCGGTGTGCACATTTGAGGCAAGATGGCGCATACACAGCCTGTGGTGCACAAAGGGCTCCTCCTAATCACTTCCCACCTCATTTACTACCTTTTAAATAACTTGATGTCGATAAAAAATAACACATATTTCTCTTTTGGTGACAAACGCCCGTATGCATGCCATAAACCATGGTCAACTCTCCCCATTCTCTGATTCACATATTGCAAACGCCAAAGAAAATAATTGATTGTATGCATTGCTACTCATAGGCACGAGTAATGTACCCTTGTACTTCCCATACGGGTGTTTCCTATCAATAGTCAATACTGGTCGAGAATGCTTACACCCATGAATAGATGGCGTGAATGCCCAAAAGACTCTGTGAAAATGGACACATTTTGAAGGACATGTAAGGGGGTAGGTATCAGTGCATAGTTTTCCCCGAATTGAAATATTAGAGCGTTGCCATGAAATGGGGCAATTCCGAATATGACTTCTCCCAACCTCCAAAAATTTCAACAACGGCCTTTTGCTTGCCCAACCATGTCCGTCTGTAAGATACCAGAGAACCATACTTTTCCTTCATCAACTCAATAATGGTATGAACTTTAAGTGATGGATGAGTGTGAAGAAGGTCAATTACTTCTCGGGGAATAAAAATCTGAAGTAATAGCCACATGATCATCACTGTCATTGTTTCCAACACAACTGGCACAATGAGGTCCAGCATAACGCACAATTACGAACATGTCAAGACTTGCATGTTTCTTTGTGACCCGTATTCTCCAAGTGCAATCGTGTTCCTTTTTTCTCTTGCACTCTGCAGCCCATTTATGTTTATCTGACTCCAGCACACGAAAAATTGGTTGCACTTGATAGAATACAAGCTAACCATATTGATGAGTTTTTTTGTCATCAAACAGTTGACCAACCACAAATTCACCATCTAGTGTAAACCTGTTCACACTTGTACCACTCTTCCACGTATCATCAAATCCGGATGGGAGATCATATAATCTTGTATAGTAACTAGACAGGGCAGTTGCACTCACAGTATCACCCTCTTCTTCATATGTTCTATCATTTCATCATCGTTCATGTGTTTATCAACATCATCATCACTGTCATGGCCATCCAAAAATGATGCACCATTGTGCAAATACTGCTCATCCTCCTCTACAACCATGTTAAAAACAAACTCATTTGTGGAGGCCGCTGCATGAACACAGATACAACATGAATTGATGTTGTGGGAGTTATAGAAGCACCTAAAGTGGATTCTTCAATCTATATCTCTATTGTCGACATAGTCAAGTTCTGGACTATCATCCACATTCACGTGACAACATCCTCATAATCAAGTGACATCAGCCTGTATGGCCATATGATCCCT